CCCCAAAACCCCAAAACCCCAAAACCCCAAAACCCCAAAACCCCAAAACCCCAAAACCCCAATCAAAAATTAGTATATGGAGAGATAGTATTAAAGGGGAATAAGATTATTATTATTAATAAATTAAATGGAAATCCAAACTAAATTCCAAGACAAATGTATCGAGATTCTGGAGGAGTGTGAACAATTTGACCTCCTTGAGAAATTTGAAAATGCTACTGAAGAAGAAAAAGACTCACTTGCACAACAAATTGTTAAGCTTGATTTCGATTTCAAGGGTGGTCTTGCTGAATACTGTGAAAGAGCAAGAGACCTTCTGAACGACTCAAAGATGGGAGTTAACCCATTCGGAGGATTCGTTCCTTCAGTTCCAACTGGAATCAACGTAGAAGCAAACTCAAAAGAATTCCACCAACTTGAAGCAACTGGAATGGAAAATATGCAAGATGCATGCTTTGTTTTAGTCGCTGGTGGATTAGGAGAGCGACTTGGTTACTCATCAATTAAGGTCGGACTACCTCTCACCCTTCTTGACAAGGAGCTATGCTACCTTAAATTCTACTGTGAGTATATCAAAGCCTTTGAATCACGTGTCATTAGAAACGTTGATGAAGAGAAGAGAGAAGGCTTCCATATCCCACTCTGTATAATGACTTCAGGAGACACTCATGAGAAAACACTATCTTTGTTAGAAGAAAAAGAATATTTTGGGCTTACCAAAGACCAGGTCACTGTTGTTAAGCAAGAAAAGGTTCCAGCCTTGATTGATAATAACTCCAACTTCAGTGTAGCTAAGGATAAACTTGAAATCGAGACCAAGCCCCATGGTCATGGAGACGTCCACACATTGTTGCACCAACATGGAGTCATCCAAAAATGGGCTAAAATGGACAAAAGATGGGTTGTTTTCTTCCAAGATACCAATGCTCTTGTCTTCAGAGCTATCCCATCAGCCTTGGGAGTGAGTGTGAAGAGAGATTTCGATGTCAACAGTATCTGTGTTCCAAGAAAGCCAGGAGAGGCAATGGGAGGAATTGCAACTCTAACCAATGAAGCTGTTAATCAGAAAATTACCATCAATGTTGAGTATAACCAACTCGACCCACTTCTGAGAGCCTCTTGGAACAAAGATGGAGATGTTGCAGATGAAAATGGATACAGTTTCTTCCCAGGAAACACAAACGTCATTGTAATGAAAGTATCCACTTATTTGGATACACTAGATAAGACTCAGGGACTTATCCCAGAATTTGTTAATCCTAAATATAAGGATGAATCTAAAGAAGTCTTCAAGTCTGCCACTAGACTTGAGTGCATGATGCAAGACTTTCCTAAGCTCCTTGATAAGACCTCCAAGGTAGGCTTCTCCTGCTATGAGAAATGGTTCTGTTTCTCTGCTGTGAAGAACAACATTGTCGATGCTGCCGTAAAATTCGACAAAGGTTTGAGCCCCGAATGTGGTGCAACAGGTGAATATGATATTTTTGAATGAAATGCTAAGATTCTCAAGATGGTAGGAGTTGAATTCGAGGACACTGTTGAAGAAGATATTAAAGATTTCCAAGGCATTAGAGTGAAAGACGGTGCTAAGGTTTTCCTTCATCCTTCATTTGGAGTAACCATCAAAGAAATTAGAGATAAGATCACCGGAGAAAATTATATCTCCAAGAAATCAATGCTTTGGTTACAAGGTGAAGAAACAACAATTCATAACCTTCACTTAGATTCCACCCTTGTTACTTCTTCATTCCCTCAAACGCTTGAGGGTGAGTACAAGGATCAGAAATATATCGACTACGTTCCTTTGAGCCCAACTGATGAAGATTTCGAAAATCTTGATGAGGTTATTAAAATCAGAGGATTCAAATTATGCCCTCCAGAAAATTTTGATGAACTCAATATTATTTCTAACTAATTTATTATTCTAAAGTTCCGTATTCAATCCATTGTCTTTAATAAGGGGTTTTGGGGTTTTGGGGTTTTGGGGTTTTGGGGTTTTGGGGTTTTGGGG